CTGAGGACACTGGAATGTACAACCCTTAAAACACTAAAATGTACAAGTTTGAATCAACACTAAATGTACAAGAAATGAACAACACAAAGTGTAAACATGAACAAAAATAGAAGGGTAAAGCATAAACAAAAATAAAAAGTACAACCCTTGAACAAACACTAGAATGTACAAGCATGAACAAACATTTTGAATGTAAAGCATGAAAACATTTAAAAAGTAAAAGCTAAACAACACTAGAATGTAAAAGCATGAAAACACTAGAATGTACAAGCATGAACAACATTTAAAATTGTACAAGCATGAAAAAACCTAGAATTTTCCAAGATGACACTGAATGAAACAAGCATGAAAAAAATATTTTAAAAATTACAAGATGAACAACACTAGAATGTACAAGCATGCACACTAGAAAGTAAAGCTTTGAACAATCTTAAATGTACAAGCATGAACAATACTAAAAAATGTACAAGCATAAAACCAATATTTAAAAATGTACAAGCATGAACAATCCCAGAAGTCCCAAGCATAAAACCTTTTAGAATGTACAAGATGACACACTGGGAATGTACAAGCATGAACACTTTAAGAATGTACAAGCATGAAAAAGAATTTTCAAGAAAGAAACAAACATTAAAATTTGACAAGCATGAACAATACTAAAATGTAAAAGCTTGAAAAATATTTGAATGTACAAGCATGCACACTAAAATGTACAAGCATGCACACTAGAAGTAAAAGAGGGCAAAACTGGGAATTTTACAAGTTGAAAAACACTAAAATTGTACAAGCATAAAACATTTTAGAATGTCAAGCATGAAAAACACAGAATGTAACAAGCATGAAAAATTTAGAATGTCCCAAGCATGAAAAATTTACTAGAATTTTAAAAGCATGAACAACCTAGAAGTCAAGCATGAACACATTTAAAAATGTAAAGCAGGGCCCATAGAATGTACAAGCATGAAAAATTTATTTAAAATTGTACAAAGAAATAAACAAAACTAGAATGTACAAGCTTGAAAAACTAGAAGGGTAAAACCCATGAAAAATACTAGAATTTTCCCAACCCAATGAAAAATTTATGGGAAGTACAAGCATGAACATTGAATGTAAAAGGGTTGAACATTTGAATGTACAAAAAATAAACCCAATACTAGATTTAAAAGCATAAACCCAAAAATGGGAAGGTAAAAAGTATGAACAACACTAAAATTTGTAAAAGCGTGAAAAACACTAAAAGGGTAAAAGTTTGGACACATTTAAAAAATGAAAAAAGTTTGGGACTATTTTGAATTTTCAACCCTTTTTGAACAATACTAGAATGTACAAGCATGAACAACTGGGGAATGTAAAAGCATGAAAAACATAAAATTGAAACAACCCTTGAAAAAACACTAGAATGTACAAGTTTAAAAACCACTAGAATGTAAAAGCATGAACAATAGAATGTACAATCATGAAAAATTTACTAGAATTTTAAAAGCATGAACAACATGAAGGTACAAGCATGAACACACTAAATTTTAAAAGGGAATGAAAACTAAAATGTACAAGCAGGGAAACTAGAATGTACAAGCAGAAAAACATTTAGAATGTACAAGCTTAAAACAACACTAGAATGTCAAGCATGAAACACTAAAATTTTACAAGCATAAACAAAAATAAAAAGTACAAACCCTAAATTTTTCCCCTTGAATGAAAAAAACCCATAACAATAGAATGTAAAAGCATGAAAAAACACTAAAAATGTACAAGCATGAAAACATTTGAATGAAACAAGCTTTGAACAACCTAGAATGTAAAAGAAATAAAACAAAAAAACCTTGAATGTAAAAGGGCATAAACCCACACTAGAATGTACAAGCATAAAACACACTAAAATGTAAAAGCATAAAACAACATTTGAATGAAACAAGCATAAAAAAACACTAGAAATTTTTACAAGCATGAACAACATTAGAATGTAAAAAGTTTGAACAACATTTGAAAAATTTTCAACCCCATGCACACAAGAATTTGTACAACCCAAAAAAACAAAAATAGAATTTTAAAGCTTTGAAAACACTAAAATTAAATAAAACATTTAAATTAAATTTTAAAACCTAAAAAAATGTTTTAATATTTTTAAACAAAATTATATTTATGTTGTTTTTGGGCAAAATATTTAAAAGTTAGGGGCCCCCGGGACTCCTCCTTTTACCAGACTGACCATTTTTGGCCTGTGTACCCACCTTTTTGTTGTTGCAGGGGGTCGGACAAAAGCTCTGGCCCCCCCTTTTTCCAGTGATCGCTGTGGGTTTTTAAAGTTTAATCTAAAACCTTTAAATGACCCTAAACATCATCAATTTTTTTCTTTTGTAGGGAGAAAAAGGGTTACAATCCCGTAAAAGGAAAATACAAAAAATAACCCGCATTACAAATTTTACGTCTTACGGCCCAAACCTGGCCCATTTGCAAAAGAACAGGGGCCAAAAAGACCGGGGAAGTCGGATAACTTCTCTCACTTATGTGTGGGTTTTTTGTGTGTTTTTGGAATAATAGATAAAGGTAAATTGAAATTTTTTGGGGGGTTTTAAATGTTCCAACCCCCCTCACCCCCCCCCTTTTTTGGTTTAATTTGAAATAATCAAATTGAAACCGTAAGTTCCCTGCAGAAACCCCTCGGGTTAAATGATCATCCCGTCACCTTTTTAGTCTTATGATAAAGTGTCCCCTTTTGGGTAATCTTAAAATTCAAGTGTAAACCTTTGGTAACTTATTGATCAAGTGTCACCTTTGAAATCTTTAATAATAAAGTGTACCTTTGAAATTCTTTTTGGGATAAAAGTGTCCCCCTTTTTTTAATCTTACTAATCAAGTTTCCCCTTTTTTTAATTTTCCCTGAAAAAGTGCCCCCTTTGTAATTTTTACTAAAAAAGTGTCACCTTTTTTAATTCTTATTTGATCAAGTGTCCCCATTTTGTTTTTCTTACAAATTTTCAAGTTTCCCCTTTGAAAATTTTACAAACCAAGTGTCACCTTTGTTTTTTTCCTTAATGATCAAGTGTCCCCCTTTGAAATTCTTAAAAAATCCAAGTGTCACTTTGAAATTTCTTTTGATTAATGGGCCCTTTGAAAATTTTAAATTAAATAAAGTGTAAACCTTTGTAATCTTATGATAAAGTGTCCCCTTTTGTAATTTACTTTTCAGTGTACCTTTGTAATCTTACGGGACCCAAGTTTCCCCTTTGTAATCTTTTGATAATTTGTCCCTTTGTAATCTTACTGATAAAGGGTTGCCCACCTTTGAAAATCTTATGATCAATTTGTAACCTTTTAAATTTTTAAATGTTAAAGTGTAACCTTTGTATCTTACTGTTCAAGGGTCCCTTTGTAATTTTAAATGTTTAAAAGTGTCCCCCTTTTTGTAATCTTACGATCAAGTTTTTCACCTTTGATTTAAAACAGTTTTGGAAGTTTCTAAAAAAATTTTCATCTACTATTTTTGCCCTTTTGGTAAAAAGTACCAGCTACCCCCTTCAGTGTCCTTGGTAAAGTACCAGCAATCCCCCTTTTCAGTGTCCTCTGGTGAAAGTACCGCTATCACCCTTCAGTGTCTTGGTAAGTCCCGTTTATCACCTTCAGTGTCCTCTGGTGAAAGTACCAGCTATCACCCTTCAGTGTCCTCTGGTGAAAGTACCAGCTATCACCCTTCAGTGTCCTCTGGTGAAAGTACCAGCTATCACCCTCAGTGTCCTTTTGGTGAAAGTACCAGCTATCACCCTTCAGTGTCCTCTGGTGAAAGTACCAGCTATCACCCTTCAGTGTCCTCTGGTGAAAGTACCAGCTATCACCCTTCAGTGTCCTCTGGTGAAAGTACCAGCTATCACCCTTCAGTGTCCTCTGGTGAAAGTACCAGCTATCACCCTTCAGTGTCCTCTGGTGAAAGTACCAGCTATCACCCTTCAGTGTCCTCTGGTGAAAGTACCAGCTATCACCCTTCAGTGTCCTCTGGTGAAAGTACCAGCTATCACCCTTCAGTGTCCTCTGGTGAAAGTACCAGCTATCACCCTTCAGTGTCCTCTGGTGAAAGTACCAGCTATCACCCTTCAGTGTCCTCTGGTGAAAGTACCAGCTATCACCCTTCAGTGTCCTCTGGTGAAAGTACCAGCTATCACCCTTCAGTGTCCTCTGGTGAAAGTACCAGCTTCACCCTTCAGTGTCCTCTGGTGAAAGTACCAGCTATCACCCTTCAGTGTCCTCTGGTGAAAGTACCAGCTATCACCCTTCAGTGTCCTCTGGTGAAAGTACCAGCTATCACCCTTCAGTGTCCTCTGGTGAAAGTACCAGCTATCACCCTTCAGTGTCCTCTGGTGAAAGTACCAGCTATCACCCTTCAGTGTCCTCTGGTGAAAGTACCAGCTATCACCCTTCCGTGTCCTCTGGTGAAAGTACCAGCTATCACCCTTCAGTGTCCTCTGGTGAAAGTACCAGCTATCACCCTTCCGTGTCCTCTGGTGAAAATACCAGCTATCACCCTTCCGTGTCCTCTGGTGAAAGTACCAGCTATCACCCTTCCGTGTCCTCTGGTGAAAGTACCAGCTATCACCCTTCAGTGTCCTTTGGTGAAAGTACCAGCTATCACCCTTCATTGTCCTCTGGTGAAAGTACCAGCTATCACCCTTCAGTGTCCTCTGGTGAAAGTACCAGCTATCACCCTTCAGTGTCCTCTGGTGAAAGTGTTAGTTAGCCGTCACCTTTCAGTGTCCTCTGGTGAAAGTACTAACTCACATTTTTATTGCGATTATGGTTTCCACAATCACATGCTTAAGAAAATCTGATCACTGTGCTCAGTGAAGACACGTAACGAGCCAGGAATAACACTCATCCCCACAAACAATAATTACCTGTATATTTACATTAATTAAAAATATCTGCAATAATCAGCTCATATTTACATTTTCTATTGTACTACGTGTAAAAAAAGAACACAGGTAGAGAAATCTACAGCAGATACTTACCAGGAACTTGGAAACATTGGGAGGTCGAAGTTCAGTGTACACGAAGTCTTTGACGACAGGATGAGAAAGGAACTCTGCCAAGAGCACCTTCAGTAACTTTCTAGGACGCTGGCCGAGGTATTGCAGCAGAAGTATATACAGGTCTTTTAACTCACTGCAGAAGAGTTAATAATAGTAGACAACGAAGAAAACGTTACGTTATATATTTATAGGAAAATTATACTAGAAAATTATCTTCGGTAAAGCCTATAGACGGTATAGCATTTTTATAGAGGATAAATGATATACAATACCGACAAGATGAAGAATTAGACACCTGTGTAACATCTGGGTATCTATTGTAGACGTTTCGCCATCCAGTGGCTTTATCAACACAAATTCAAGAACATAGTGGGAAGACTGTAGAAGTATATAGAAAAGACAAGATAATGAGTCCCTCAGCCTCGGAGCTGGTGAAGAACACCGTAGTCGTGAAGATTGTGAAGAACACCGTAGTCGTGAAGATTGTGAAGAACACCGTAGTCGTGAAGATTGTGAAGAACACCGTAGTCGTGAAGATTGTGAAGAACACCGTGGTCGTGAAGATTGTGAAGAACACCGTGGTCGTGAAGATTGTGAAGAACACCGTAGTCGTGAAGATTGTGAAGAACACCGTGGTCGTGAAGATTGTGAAGAACACAGTAGTCGTGAAGATTGTGAAGAACACCGTAGTCGTGAAGATTGTGAAGAACACCGTAGTCGTGAAGATTGTGAAGAACACCGTAGTCGTGAAGATTGTGAAGAACACCGTAGTCGTGAAGATGTGAAGAACACCGTGTCGTAAAGATTGTGAAGAACACCGTAGTCTAAGGACTGTGAACAGAATCCCACAATGTTCTTTTGTTACTTACTGGTCCAACCCCCGGGTGACCTAATTCCACTGGGTAATCCTACTGGTCCAACCCCCGGGTGTGACCTAATTCCACTGGGTACTCCTACTGGTCCAACCCTCGGGTGTGACCTAATTCCACTGGGTAATCCTACTGGTCCAACCCCGGGTGTGACCAAATTCCACGGGTATCCTACTGGTCCAACCCGGGTGTGACCTAATTCCACTGGGTATCCTACTGGCCCCAACCCCCGGGTGTGACCTAAATTTCCACTGGGTAATCCTATGGTCCAAACCACCCGGGTGGACTAATTTCCATGGGTACTCCTATGGTCCAACCCTCGGGTGTGACCTAATTCCATGGGTACTCCTACTGGTCCAACCCCGGGTTTTGACCTAATTCCACTGGGTAATCCTACTGGCCCAACCCCTGGGGTGTGACCTGTTTCCCCACTGGGTACTCCTACTGGCCCAAAACCTCGGGTGTGACCTATTCCACTGGGTAACCCTACTGGTCCAACCCTCGGGTGTGACCTAATTCCACTGGGTACTCCTACTGGCCAACTCGGGTGTGACCTAATTCAACTGGGTAATCCTACTGGTCCAACCCTCGGGTGTGACCTAATTCCACTGGGAAATCCTACTGGCCCCAACCCTCGGGTGTGACCTAATTCCACTGGGTAATCCTACTGGCCCAAACCCCTCGGGTGTGCCCTAATTCCACTGGTAACCCTTTACTGGTCCAACCCTCGGGTGTGACCTAATTCCACTGGGTAAACCCTACTGGTCCAAACCCTCGGGTGTGACCTAATTCCACTGGGTAATCTTACTGGTCCAACCCTCGGGTGACCAAATTTTCCACTGGGTAATCCTACTGGTCCACCCCGGGTGACCTAATTCCACTGGGTAATCCTGCTGGTCAACCCCGGGTGTGCCCTGATTCCATGGGTAATCCTACTGGTCCAACCCCGGGTGTGACCTGATTCCACTGGGTAACCCTACTGGTCCCAACCCTGGGTGTGACCTAATTCCATGGGTAATCCTACTGGTCCAACCTCGGGTTGTGACCTAATTCCACTGGGTAATCTAACTGGTCCAACCCTCGGGTGGACCTGTTCCACTGGGTTTCCCCTTCCTACCAGTTGACTGTTTTCGTCTGTACACCTCCATCACCTGACGCCAAAGTATATAAAGCACCAATCTCATGGTTGTGCTCACAATTCCCACGACTACAGTTGTTCAACCCCAAAGGCTGAGGACTGATTCCCTCAGGTTTTCATATAGTTGTACAGTTTTTCCATTATGCTCTTAAAAGGGTTTGTTGATAAAGCCACTGGATGGCGAAACTTTACAATAAAGATACCAGATGCCCAAAGCGTATTTATCATAATAAGACTTGACTAAGTCGGCCCCCTGAACAGTTCAGTGCCTTCTTGACCCAATTCCCCTGCACCGCTGAAGCTTCGCAGCCATCAGAACGCCAAGCCCTATCTGGAGTTTGATGAGCCCCCAACTTCTCTTTTGTATTCCCCCGTCCCCCTGGAGTTTTTTAAAAAATATTTTTTGTTTTTTCACAGTACATATACAGGTTACAGACCTAGCGACATCAATGACTACACTTAAGGATCGCTTGTTTCCCTGAGCACTTCAGGCCAATTAGGTCGTTTTGTCCCAGGATGCGCCCCACACCAGTCCACTAACACCCAGGTCCCCATTTTACTGATGAGTGAACATAGACAACCGGTGTTAAAGCAACACGCCCTGTTTCTACCCTCGCTGGGAATCGAACCCAGACCCTCGCCGTGTGAAGCGAGAGCTTTACCCAACAGGCCACGGGGAACCGTAAATGTAAATATTCAGCAATATTTTTGTTTCCTGTAATTCTTTTTCCACTATCTCTAATAAATATTTTTTTTTTTAAACACCGGCTGTGTCTCACCGACGGAGGGTGACAAAAAAAAAAAGAAACACATTCACCATTATTTATTCAATGACTGTGTTGCCACCACCATCCTGACATCATCGTTCACATCACTACCAACTACAATATTCCCTGACATCATCGTTCACATCACTACCAACTGCAATATTCCCTGAATCTTTCGTTCACACGACTACCAACTGCAATATTCCCTGACATCATCGTTCACATCACTACCAACTACAATATTCCCTGACATCATCGTTCACATCACTACCAACTACAATATTCCCTGACATCATCGTTCACATAACTCCCAAAACTGCAATATTCCCTGACATCATCGTTCACATAACTCCCAAACTACAATTTCCCTGACATTCATCGTTCACATAACTACCAACTACAATATTCCGGGACATCATCGTTCACATAAACTACCAACTGCAATTTCCTGACTCTCGTTCACATCACTACCAACTACAATACCCCCCTGACATCATCGTTCACATCACTACCAACTACAATATTCCCTGACATCATCGTTCACATCACTACCAACTGCAATATTCCCTGACATCATCGTTCACATCATACAACTACAATATTCCCTGACATCATCGTTACATCACTTCCAATACAAATTTCCCTGACATCATCGTTCACATCACAAACAACTACAATTTCCCTGACATCATCGTTCACATCACTACCAACTACAATATTCCCTGACATCGTTCACATCACTACCAGGTTGTGGAGTGCAGCAGTGTGATAACAAACTTCGCTGTGATAACGTTAACTGCTAAATGAAAACCCAGTAATTGATAACTGATAATAGATAACTGTGATAACAGAAAACTGATAACTAATAAAACAAATGATAACAGTAACTGATAACTGGAGTTTACCTGGAGAGAGTTCCGGGGGTCAAAGCCCCCGCGGCCCGGTCTGTGACATAACTGTGATAACTAAAAAATAATTGACAATAATAACTGATAAATATAACTGGACATCAAATAATCGGTTTATCTTAACTGGAAGTTTTTTTTTTTTTATTAATTATAAACTTGGTATCTGCCACTTTTCATATATTTTTTTAATTAAAATTTCTTAAATAAAAAATTCAAATGTTTTTCCTACTTTTTAAATCTTTTTGAGAATTTTAAAGTAAAGGAACTTAGTTTTGACAGTTCAGTGAAGCCTGAAGAACTTTGTTGTCAGAACTTGTTCTTTGTTAAAGTGTTCTGGTCGACTCGTCAGCCTGGAGTCAGCTCCAGGCTGACGGACTGATTACCTCAAACAATTATCTTCCATCGTTCTTCTGTGTATTGGACTGAAGAAGTCACTGAATGGCCACACGATTCCTCAATAAAGTTGGCCAATATTGCACAAGTGTTATTCTTCAGTGTAGAGTAAAACCAGACTGGATTATCTCCTCATTTGGGTGGCCCGGTGGCCTGGTGGCCTGGTGGCCCGGTGGCCTGGTGGCCCGGTGGCCTGGTGGCTAAAGCTCTCGCTTCACACACGGAGGGCCCGGGGTTTGATTCCCGGCGGGTGGAAAAATTTTCGACAAAATTTCTTACAAACCCGTTGTCCTGTTCACCTAGCAGCAATAGGTACCTGGGTGTTAGTCGACTGGTGTGGGTGGCATCCTGGGGGACAAGATTAAGGACCACAATGGAAATAAGTTAGACAGTCCTCGATGACGCACTGACTTTCTTGGGTTATCCTGGGTGGGTAACCCTCCGGGTTAAAAATCCGAACGAAATCTTTTCTTACTGGAAAAAAACTGCTATATTTTTGTTTCTATGTGATGACTTGTTGGTGCCCCTACTGACATTTTACAGTGCAATATTAACTACATTCTCCTGTACTGACCTGCAGAGGGCTGGGGTTATGCAGCTCAGGGATACTTTTCTCGTATCTTGCAGCTACCAAAATACATTCACAGGGAGCTCTAAGCCCGCAGAGCCATACGCGCCTGTGTGAATGGCAGGCATTTAGGTTCAATCCGAGGAAGGTGAGCAATAGGTCCAATTAGATCAGGTGGACAGAAACCTTCTCTGAGGGGAGAGGAAGATGGTGCCCTGACACTGGTCAAAGGCTCTTGATTCAATGAATTAGAGTTAGCCTTCTCTTCAGTTGATGGGAATGCCCTTAAACCCTTATAAACTCCATAACCCCTATAAACCCCAAAAAACTCTAAAAATCCTAAACCCCTATAAACCTCAAACCCAATAAACCTCTGTAACCCCCTATAAAGGCCTGATAGGCTTTATCTCTTCCTTTCCTCCTCTAAGACTTTCCTTGGTGACTTACTGGATGTTGTTTGAAACTTCCTGGAGAGAGTGAGAGTTACCTG